TATAGCAAAAGAGTCAGCGCGCAGCCACAGTAAAACCCACACGGTACCTTTTATTATTATTATTCTTCTTAACCGACGACGTTGAACTCAAAAAAACAAATCAGTCACGTTTTTTTTCCTCATAAATCGTATTGCAAAATCCTCCCCCCTCAAAGACGTCCGTACTGCTCTCACTTCCCACACATCACCCACCCCCCCCTCCCCCCCAAAAAAACACTTTCAGAATAGGGTTTACAACGTTTCAGTCGAGTCTTCACCGGCCAGCTGTCACAGTTAACGTGACAAAACGTCTCGAAGCAAACACCCGCGTGTTACGTGTGTCACGTGTGTTACAAACATACAAACAATGTTTGTAACACACAATGTTTGTAACACACAATGTTTGTAACAACACTTGGCTTTGTGCCGCTTCGCAAAAAAAAAAAAATGAATGAAACAAAGACTGGCTTGGCTTCGTGTGTTTTTTTTGTGCAACCAGACACAGGGGGCTTGCAAGTTAAGGAAGGGGAAGTCTCCATCCATCTCTCCCTGCCAACTCACCCCGACGCACCAAACCAGGTATTGCGCCGCGCATCAAATATTTAGACGTTCCCAATGTCCATTAAACCGTGGCACCCATGTAAAAAGGGAACAAGAGTGTCCACAATGCTCCGCTTACCCCCGACACACACACAGAAAAAAAAGTGTCGGGTCCTGATGGCTCTGGCAATTGTCCCCGCACGGACGGAATAGGGCTGTGGGAACGTCCTAAAAAAAAGAAATATAACCATTGCCGTTAGCCAAAGACATCGCGTCCAGGATGCCGCGCGCAAGACCTGAGGGCGGGAGAGGTTGCACAAAAGGCACGCGCGCGAGCAATTTTATAACTGGGGCACTGGGCGAGGTGCTGCCCGCCGCTGTGCGTGGATTGCCTGGCCAAAAACATAAAGTGGATGTAAAGGGGGGGGGGGGGGATAGGAAAAAAAAGACAAATTTTGTCCCCCCACCCCGTCCCCCAACTCTGAAACGCTTTTAATGTTTGGGTTCTAGTATGTACAGATTAGGGGAGGGGGGGGTGGAGCGGTGGAAGTTGTCATTTCGAGTGGTGCAGTCCGGATGGGGCAGCTCGAGGTCGTAACGAAAAACGGCACAAACGACGCGCGGTCACCCGGCCACAACCGTTTTGGAGGAGCTCCACAACACACACAAAACAAAACTAAATAGCACCAAAATCTAACTCTCCGTCCGGCTGGTTACACCCCGCGCACGCTGTGGGCAAGTGTCCAGCCTCGTCGGCCTGGGGAATCGCGTGCACAGTGTTTGGCTGGGCAAACTGTGGCCGGCACCGAAGAAGAGTTTCTATTGCATCCCCAGAATTGTCTCTTTCCTCCCCCCCCCCCAAGTTTAATGCAAATGTTTTTTTTTTAAAAGGGGGGAAATTGCAACCGAAGCCAGTGTTTGTTTGTAGTGTACAGTACTTAGAGCACCCATCGAAGACAATTGTACTAAGGGTGTACGCAAAAAAAAGTGCGTGTGGAAATGTGACCCCCAAAGTGAAATTCTCAAGGGACAACAAAAATTAATCTGGCCAAGTGAAAATGATTTCACACGTTTAAAAGTAGACAAAGGCGGTGCACGCATTATTTGCGACTGGATGTAGTAGTCGGAATGCAACGCGGCCGTACATATTTGATCTCATCCCTCCACGAGTCAAGACGACGGCAGGCGATTGTCGATTTAAATTAGTACGTGTAATTAATAATCGCGCGATCCCAAAGGACTTTTGGATGGGAAAACCGGCGGCGAATTAAAAAGTCAGCGATGCTCACTCGCACAACTAGAAATCAACAGGCATGCCGACTCCGTGCAACGCAAAGCGCAGCTTGCCTAAAACGACAAATGGTGGGAATTTGGGATCGCTGGATTTTTTTTATGTCGCGTACGAAAAATGACTCGCCTCGCAGCAGCGATTTTTGTTTTACCCACCATCGCTTTTACCCGTGGCCACCTATTCCCAACCAAACAAGCCACCGTTGGATTTCGGCGACATTTTTGAATTACACGTAGGGAGTTGATGGCGGCTAACTTAATATCTAAAGGCAGAACCTCCACCAGGCTGCAAGCGCAGTGGTGGGGAGGGAGAGGGTTTTGAGGTGACACAGCTAGCCTCTGACCACGGGACTCTCCGAACAGAGTCCACCGCAATGGAAACCAACAGCGCACGGTTAGTCTTTTTTACGTTGCAGAGAGCTAGTGTTTGCTTAATAGGCCATGATCACGATATTTTCAACTTTTGAGGCTGCCTGCCCACCCCCACCACTGCCCCCCTTTTTCTCCCTTTCCCAGCACCGATGATTTAAGCCTACAGCTGTGGGGGTTTAAAGAAAGCTCTGCTCGACAATTTTTTTTGGAACATCCAGGTTTCCCTTCTGCAAGGCCAAGTCAGCTTTTGTGTGCACAGTTCGCGAGCCACAGGGCATCTTAAGCCTGCCACAAGAAAACAAAAAACTCGACGTGAAACCAAAAACCAAGGTTATCAACAATTTGGTCACACATCAGCCAGGTGAGAGTTGGAAAGCCATGGGTCCAGCATCATAATTGTGGGTCTCGGTAAACTTACTCGATGACAAAAAAAAGTCGTTAGTGACACGGAGGAGCGTGTGGTAATTATATAGCGGGCGTGCAAAGCTTCATGAACCCCATATTCTCAGAATGACTTCTCCAAAACTTGGTCTCAGAGATGCACGTATTATATAGGCTGTGCTACTGTGCAAACCGCAATTGCGGTAAGAATTTCGTGGGAATATTTGTACATGTAGTGAGAGAAAAAAGTATTTGATCCCCTGCTGATTTTGTACGTTTGCCCACTGACAAAGAAATTATCAGTCTATAATTTTAATGGTAGGTTTATTTGAACAGTGAGAGACAGAATAACAAAAAAATCCAGAAAAACGCATGTCAAAAATGTTATAAATTGATTTGCATTTTAATGAGGGAAATAAGTATTTGACCCCCTCTCAATCAATCAGATTCCAAACTCTCCACCATGGCCAAGACCAAAGAGCTCTCCAAGGATGTCAGGGACAAGATTGTAGACCTACACAAGGCTGGAATGGGCTACAAGACCATTGCCAAGCAGCTTGGTGAGAAGGTGACAACAGTTGGTGCGATTATTCGCAAATGTAAGAAACACAAAAGAACTGTCAAACTCCCTCGGCCTGGGGCTCCATGCAAGATCTCACCTCGTGGAGTTGCAATGATCATGAGAACAGTGAGGAATCAGCCCAGAACTACACGGGAGGATCAATGATGTCAAGGCAGCTGGGACCATAGTCACCAAGAAAACAATTGGTAACACACTACGTCGCGAAGGACTGAAATCCTGAGCGCCTGCAAGGTCCCCCTGCTCAAGAAAGCACATATACATGCCTGTCTGAAGTTTGCCAATGAACATCTGAATGATTCAGAGGACAACTGGGTGAAAGTGCTGTGGTCAGATGAGACCAAAATGGAGCTCTTTGGCATTAACTCAACTCGCCGTGTTTGGAGGAGGAATGCTGCCTATGACCCCAAGAACACCATCAAACATGGAGGTGGAAACATTATGCTTTGGGGGTGTTTTTCTAAGGGGACAGGACAACTTCACCGCATCAAAAGGACGATGGACGGGGCCATGTACCGTCAAATCTTGGGTGAGAACCTCCTTCCCTCAGCCAGGGCATTGAAAATGGGTTGTGGATGGGTATTCCAGCATGACAATGACCCAAAACACGCGGCCAAGGCAACAAAGGAGTGGCTCAAGAAGAAGCACATTAAGGTCCTGGAGTGGCCTAGCCAGTCTCCAGACCTTAATCCCATAGAAAATATGTGGAGGAAGCTGAAGGGTCGAGTTGCTAAACGTCAGCCTCGAAACCTTAATGACTTGGAGAAGATCTGCAAAGAGTGGGACAAAATCCCTTCTTTAGATGTGTGCAAACCTGGTGGCCAACTACAAGAAACGTCTGACCTCTGTGATTGCCAACAAGGGTTTTGTCACCAAGTACCAAGTCATGTTTTGCAGAGGCGTCAAATACTTATTCCCTCATTAAAATGCAAATCAATTTATAACATTTTTGACATGCGTTTTTCTGGATTTTGTTGTTATTCTGTCTCTCACTGTTCAAATAAACCTACCATTAAAATTATAGACTGATCATTTCTTTGTCAGTGGGCAAACGTACAAAATCAGCAGGGGATCAAATACTTTTTTCCCCTCACTGTATATATTTTTTACGAGAATAACAAAGAAAAACCCCTTGAAAAGCATCTTGTTATCAACGCGCTACGAAACGTCTTTATGCATGTCCTACAGACGCGATACTTATTTTTTTTTACAAGGCAAAGTTATCATCCTACTTTTTAAGAAAAGCACAAAAATGTTTGCCCCAAAGCTGCCAAAATATGTTCCATGATGGTTCTAGTTAAATGTGCTTAAATATACATGTATTACATGTACACAAGCCCGTGTGAATAACAATATATTGTTCATAGTGCAAAGTTAATGCTAAACTTTTACACACATTGATTATTTTTTTGTATGTATTACAGAAGCTAGTTCAGCACACAGAAGCCTTTTTGGGGGGTGAGAAACACGGTGCGCGAGGCAGATGTGGCCCAACGGTTCATGCAAAACATGCCGGGTGGACTGATGACGTTACTACGTTGCTTTGCAACTTTGTCAAATCACATTGCCCTGCATCGTGTCATATAATTGCAAACGCAATTTAAACAAAGCCACCGCCTCCTCTCTCGTTCGCTCTCATAAGCACACCATTACGATGAGAAATCACACTACTACCAGCAATTTGCAGTTCTTTGGAAATTAAATAAACAGGGCGTTTAGACTCTAAACAAATAAAGAGAAACTATTTATACAATAGTGTACCTTTACTGGTAATACATTCGGCTGAAAAAAGTCCAGATGGTTATCATCTGGATGAAACAGTGCAATTTTCTTCATAGTACAGTATCTTAAAGTTGTAATCGTTCGGGCCCCCCCCCTGCACTCTTTGCCCCTGGTCTAAACCACTCGACAACTTCCGGCCAAAAATAACCATTCCGCTGCCAAATCACACACGATGGCTCAAACACCCAAATGTAACGACTACAACTACGCCTTACGAGAAGTCGATCTAACCTGTATGGCACTTTCTTAACTCTAACTGTTCCTTAAAGAGTCGAACACATCATATACAGTATTATATAATCGCGCGCGCACACGCGCACACGCACGCACACGCGAAACAAGCTATCAGTTTAAATGACATTTGGTGAGAAAGTCCAGTTTGCTGGCCTTAGGCTTTTGACGAGTAGCCACCACACACACACAGAAAAAAACATCTGCTACGTTTGTACTACGCACGGCACTAGCCGTTTTAAAAGGCCTGCCCCGCCACAATTACACAGCCCATCAGCCACGACGAGGGCTCCTTCCCCGTTCCATCAACGCTCATCAACAACAGTCACTGGTCGTGTACGTTATGCATCTGGTGGCCAGCATAGCTCGAAAAATCATTGGGGAAATAAACTAAAATGTGCAACATCACTTTACCAAGAAGCTTACAATATTCCTACCCCCCCCCGCCCCCGTCCATTGAAAATGAAACGTACACATTATTTGCCATGTAATACTTTAAATGTATGTTGCGTGTTGACCTTATATAATTCTAAACATTTCTACTAAAAACTGTCAATTTTGATCACAGCAATAAGCAAAATGTACAGTGTTGTCTTTTTTTGATTTTTGTTGTTGTCGTCAAAATGGAAAAAAAAGTGTAAACTAGCACGGTAAACGTAGCGGATCACTACCTGCCTTAATGGCTGTCTCACATCCGGCTATGAGATGCAGGGGGAAAAAAAGCGCAGCAAGAATCATCGCGTAAACTCACGAAGCAACAGCTCGACTTTGGTCACCCACCCGCTTGCCCGCCTGCCCGCCTGCCCGCCCAGCCACCGCCCCCCTTGGGGCTGCTCACATTTTGAAAAAAGGAGGAGAGAGTTCAAGCTCCATCATCATCATCATCTCCGATGACGGTGGCAGCAGGGCTCTCTTGTGCTTAGGGGATAACGGCAAGAGTAAAAAAATGAAATGACAGTCGTGGGACTTTGCGTTAAATGCTCCAATCAAGCAGCGCCCCTCCCCCCTCCTCTCTCTGCACTTTGTACCCTTCAATATTTTTTGCTTGCTTATACAAACTAAAAAGTGGAAAATAACATCTTCCCCAGCTTGTTGTCCAGACGTAAAGCTGCCTCACAAGCACCCCCCCCCCCAGCTAATCGGAGTCTTCAAAGACCCCCCCCCCCCTGCCTCCACCGCCCCCTTTCACCAACTGCAAAGGGCCCTCGGCAACATTTAGGCCAAATTTTATTTGGAAGGCTGTCCCCCAAACAAAAAAGCAACCGCCGAACCATTCGTAGAGATGTTAACGAAAAAAATTATGCCACGACGGACGGGCGTACGGTGTTAAGATAGGATGGTTTTGTTTGTTGTTGTTGTTGTTGTCAGAATGACCGTATGAACCCAACTCGACGACGCGACAAGAGCAGCACGCGAGCGCACTGGCGACAAGGAAGCGGTTCTAAATCTGTACGGAATCGACATTCAAGAGATATTATAACACCATGGCCGCTCGAAGATCATAGTTAGTTAGCAGAGGTTGATATTTCTCCAAAGCGCCACCGCGGTACTGGATACGTTCATCGAATGCCCTCCATCCAATCCCGATGGAACTAAATAGATTAATGTGGCCACCGGATTAGGCTGACAGTTTTCACCATCCTGGAAATGTATTGAAGGTCTTCGTACAACGAACTGACGATATACTTACGCGTTTCCCTTGATGAGGGAATAAAGACGCCACGTGTTTCAGCACCTGTCTCATAAATAAACCTTCAATGCAGGCCATCAATGTCCTAGTAGCTTAGGTACTTCAAAACTTCTATATACGTTCCATACGGGACAATCACGTGTACGCGCAAATGCCCGTGGCACACACACACGCACACACACGCTACACACAATGGGTCAAACCCTCCCTACTCTCTCACCCCCTCTTCAACCCGATCCCGCTCCCCCTGTTGCTGCCCTCAGCCCCTCGACGCGTTCTCTTACGCTTCCCAGTGACGAATAACACGGCACTGAAACCAGCCCTACGGGAGAATTATCGTGCTGGCACATTGGAAAGGAAAACATAATTTCCTACACTTCCTTAAGTGTCTCCATGAAGCCAATATGGCTTGGTTGACCTTTCCATTGCTTTTCTAACAACTCCTCTTTCTCCCCACCCCACACCCCCCACCCCCCACCTCTTTACCCCCCCCCACCCACCCACCCACAAGAAACACACATTGTCAGACATCCCACCCAAGGGCCCCCCCTCCCATTAACTAAAAGGGGGGCTGCCCCACACCTCCCAAAATGGATAACGACAGCTGTAACGCTATCTGTTGTCCGCCGGAGTCAGCTGCAGCATGGAAACCACGCTTTGGATATCCTCTTCTGGTACCTACACAGCACACACACAGAAAGGGGACGAGGCATTGCATTAAAGAATTAGACAAAAAAATAATGTATAGAGATTTATAAATCTAATCATTCTGATCGAAGGCCTCCCCTCATGGATGCATCTGTCATTGGGGTTGTTTGAACCATACTTCACCACGCCAGACAGAGCGGATTGGGGAAAGGGGTCATCGTGCCTGGTTCAGATATCACTCTGCGCTGAAGTTAGCATTGGCCGGGAATCCATAACTGGTTGCCGGGTTCACAGCGCATTGCACTCTGTACGTACGTTCAACTTCTTTCGCACCGTACGTAGCCAACTGTGCTAATCGGAGGTGCGGTGGGGTTAGGTGTACGAACCACTGCGCCACCGACCTGCACTGACCGCTGTGGTGAAGTATGGCCAAATAACCCTCATCTTTCCATATGGCATAGGGTGGCCCTCATCCAGCAGTGGGATTGACAAAAAATGGCTGTGCATGTACTTTGCCCGACCAAACACGGTTACAACGTCGCGTAAGCTTTACTTCGGCAATGATTTCCAATACGCAGCAACAATTATTTCAGATACCTCTTAAAAGACACGCTAGACAATTTCACGCATTCGTACGAACTTGTATAATTCTAAGGTTATCAAATGTCAACGTGAGCTAAAGTCGCCGTGCTATTGTTCGCTATCCTGAAGAGCTGTGCAAATATGAAAATGTGGAGAAAGTGATATGCCTCATAAATCATGCACTGTTCGTACTTGAGTTAACACTTCATGCCTACAAATATATATTACATCTATGGGATAGACAAGTAGGTATCCATCCACTGTCCTGAAAAAAATATATTGCCTGCATTCTCCATTTCTTTTTTTAGTGTACAGGAAAGAAAGCCACTGGATATGGAGAAAAAAATAGATCTCTAACACAGAGTAGAACTACACACCACGAACATTTGGTATGTATTAAATACTCAAATTGTTGGCAATCCATAAGCCTACGTGTTAAACTGTTGGCAATCGCTTATGTAAAACAAACACCGCTCGCAAGCTAGTGACAGGGAGATTATCAAGCTGTAAATGCAAAAGCGAAGACACAAAACTGCTGTTCATTGGAAGACTAAGTTACTTTCAGGTTCAAATTAACAAAACACGGCCGAGATTTGCAAAGCAACTTGGGCTGATCGCCCCCCCTCCCGCCTCGTCCCCCCCCCGCCTCGTTCCCCCCCCCCCCGCCTCGTCCCCCCCCCCCCGCCTCGTCACCCCCACCCCCCGCCTCTCCCCCACCCCCACCTCGTCCCCCCCCCGCCTCGTCCCCCCCCGCCTCGTCTCCCCCACCCCCCCCCCGCCTCGTCTCCCCCACCCCCCGCCTCGTCTCGCCCACCCCCCCCCGCCTCGTCTCCCCCACCCCCCCCCCGCCTCGTCTCCCCCCCCCCGCCTCGTCTCCCCCCCCCGCCTCGTCTCCCCCCCCCCCGCCTCCTCACCCCCCCCCACCTCGCCCCCCCACATCGCCCCCCAACCCCACTCCCCCGCCTCGCCCCCCCCCCCTGCTTGTTACAACAACAAAAAAACTTGGTAGGCATCCAACGCCAACACACCACGGGGCCCACGGCTCCTGCTGCTGCTGCGTTAACGCGACCGGACATCTCCTCCGTGATTGGTTCACATGCCCAGGGCCCGGCCACAGTGCGGTACAGTGAGCAGCCGCGTGAAGCTGCACCACCACCACCACCAACAACAACAACGTGCTTTTCTATTTGTATTGAGTTTTTTTAATACTTTTTACACAATTCTGTAAATATTGCCCAATGAAGCTGGATGTTGTAATCACCAGCAAATACGTCGTACTCAAAATTTACTCTCCAAGACACAACCGGTGTGCTGAAGTTGTAACCAATTGGTACGGTTAGTTTACGTGACAAACCTTACTAACTTAGCTGCGTCGGGTTGGTGGCGACGGGTTTAACGACAGTTATATTTTACACGATACAAAAAAAAACCTTTATTATTAATAGTTTTGCTGTCCATTGTAAACGGCGAAACATGGGTTTTAGTTGTGTTGATGACCTGCGATCCAACTAAAAAAATTCTAGTCACTGGAGCTTGTACGTATCCTTAAAAAGCGGAAAAATGACAACTTTGTTCAACGTTTAGCTTGAACGCTAACCCAACAGAGCCACGTGCGATCGCAAAATTTTGCTGTCAATTTTTGTAAAAGCAAACACTTTAAATTGTCTAATGATCTCGAAAAGCCAACCGGGAAAACTGGACAATGTCGCTTGCACCTATCCTCGAGATGTGGAAGACGCTTACGGTACTATACACAGTGGATTTCAAAATGAACCCTATACGAGCTATTCCACGATAAAGAAGCAACAAATTAACTTTCACACAAGCTCAACAAAAAAAAACGTGAAATAAATAACCGAATGTGGATTTTTTTAAGTAAAAAAAAAAGCCATTAGCTTTGTTCTAGCTGTTAACGTCATTATAATTTTTTTTCTTCAGGAAAAACCGGAGTCACGCGATAGCCGCTGTGAACCGAGGCGGCAGGAACTCCCTAACGGCACGGCCAGGAAGTCCAAGCCCTGAGCGCGAGCAGCACAAGCCACGGACGCACACACAGTGGGTTGGGCTGCTGAAATGGCAAAAATCCCGAGGCACGCACGGGACAAGCCCAGCCGACTTCATTGTCACCATCACCGCGTTGTGTCACCATCACGGCGTTGTGTCACCATCACGGCGTTGTGTCACCATCACGGCGTTGTGTCACCATCACCGCGTTGTGTCACCATCACCGCGTTGTGTCACCATCACCGCGTTGTCACTATCACCGTGTTGTGTCACCATCACGGCGTTGTGTCACCATCACCGCGTTGTGTCACCATCACCGCGTTGTGTCACCATCACCGCGTTGTCACTATCACCGCGTTGTCACTATCACCGCGATGTGTCACTATCACCGCGATGTGTCACCATCACCGCGTTGTGTCACCATCACGGCGTTGTGTCACCATCACCGCGTTGTGTCACTATCACCGCGATGTGTCACTATCACCGCGATGTGTCACTATCACCGCGTTGTGTCACTATCACAGCGTTGTGTCACTATCACCGCGTTGTGTCACCATCACCGCGTTGTGTCACCATCACCGCGTTGTGTCACCATCACCGCGTTGTGTCACCATCACCGCGTTGTGTCACCATCACCGCGTTGTGTCACTATCACCGCGTTGTGTCACTATCACCGCGATGTGTCACTATCACGGCGTTGTGTCACTATCACAAAACAAGCTGGCACCCCGTTTAGGCCCACAAGTTTATGGACCGTAAAGCACTCTTCCGTTGTCTGGAACTTCAAACAGGTGTTGCTTTCATGATTTTCTATCCAAAATGGTAGAATCACTGGAGGTTGCATCATCATCATCGATGTGGGATACGAATCTACGTTTAAAGGGTGGGGATTGAGGAGTGGGGAAAAAAAATGATACAGCAGGGAAGTTTTTTTTTCTCCTTTGAAAAAATGAACTAATTTGTTCTAAAGGTTATCGAAGCGTCCGACTGGAAAAATGAGACAGGCTCTCTCACGCGCACGCGTGTCTACCCATCGTTGGCGAATGCAGTGCACGCCCGACGAACCTGGCTTCAAAGGGCTGTCATGGAACTGCTGCATAGTGCTGACCATGCATAAACCAGGAGCGGTGGGGGAGCTTTAAACCATCAGAACGTAAAATTGACACAGTCAGCTTTCCACCTAATGGATCCTGCTTAATTAACCGCATGATGTACTTTAATTTGTAAAGGTTCAAATGGTAATGTGGCGCGCCCCCCCCATCCCCCCACTACCCCCTCCCGACCCCCGCAATCGGCTACAGGTCTGGACGCAAGAAATGCAGAAGTCATGGTGTGAGCAACAAGCACCAAAGGCTCTACTTTGCGACGTTATACAACATTGTTGGAGATTAGGTTCGCACTCGCCCCACCCGTTTGCTCACCTCCGATTTACTTTTAAGATGCGCAATTGCGAAAGACTAAAACAACACGAAGTTTGTATTTTGAGGAGAGGCGTAGAGACATAAATGGAAAGGTTTGGAGCCACTGGGCGGCACTACGCACAACATACATCACCCTAAAGCTTCCTTGGGTAGGCACATACGTTTGCCCACTGACAAAGAAATAATCAGTCTATAATTTTAATGGTAGGTTTCTATGGGATTAAGGTCTGGCGACTGGCTAGGCCACTCCAGGACCTTAATGTGCTTCTTCTTGAGCCACTACTTTGTTGCCTTGGCCGTACAAAATCAGCAGGGGATCAAATATTTTTTTCCCTCACTGTACTTGTTTTTTTTTAAATGGGTTCCACTATATGAAGGACAGGTCAAGCAAAATAAAAAAAAAATCAGTTCCTCAACTTAAGTTTAAAAACAAAAACCTAAACCGGCCAAATGGTACATCAAGGTTACATTCTACTTAAAGTTCATTTAGTGTCACGGGTAGGCCACAACACTTGTCCGTTATAATATTTTTGAGAAAACTTGATAAACAAGATTATATTTTTCCTCATTTGCAACTCTTGCGGCAAAGAGTTTTCACTCAAAGGTGGTAACATTTTGAAAACAACCACTGTGCGCAAAAAGGGCCCCTCTCTGTCCTTCCGAAATGCTCGTTTAAATTTGCACACTTTGAGCTTCGCAAAGCATAAACAGCTAAAACCGGTTGGGTGTTTTTTTTCCTCCCCTACACAAACCTCCGCGTATATTTTTTTGCAAATCGTTCAAAGAAAAAAATTCACTCGTGCAAGCTGCGCCCGTTAACAAGCAAGGCTCGAAAGTAAAGTTTCAGAAATTAAGTAGTTTATTTTTTTTACGACTTTCCTGCCAAAGCCTGCCTTCGTCAGCCAACACCGAGTACTGTGTGGTTCTAGCCAGAAACAAATACAGCCTTCCAGCAGCATCCGCGCAACTGGGACAGCCCAAGTCAACGCCAGGTCAATTTCCCACACATCAATTGTCCCCCCCCCCCCATAATGAAATAAATTAACCACAAAAACCTGCCGCTACGAAACCTGTAAAATTAGGACAAAGGGAAAAAAAACTCAACCTTTTTGGTGATATCCTGAAGTTTATATTTGTTTTTACCTATAATGAGGAACCTTTGTTGCGTATTCAAACCTGTAATAGCAGCTGAATTGTAATTTACACTCTCGTGCCAAAATCACAAACGCAGCGCCAACATATTTTTTTTGTGGAGTGGATTTCAAACTCACCAGAGCATGATCAAACTTGAATGTGCTGATATAGTAGGCCGAGATGTCTGCGTTGGCGAGCGGTTCCGATATCTGGGCCACGATGCCACACTCGTCTGCAAAAGTAAAAAAAAAACGCACAAACATTCGTTTTTTTTTGCTGCCACGTGTGAATGTATAAAGCGGCAAACGTTCATTTGGCACCATAAAAAAATAGTTGGCGGAGCATCCTGTACACGCGCGTTTGCCCGCGACAACAAGGCACACACGGTTACGCAGAATACCAACAGAGTTTCAACTCGGTCACATCCTGAAGCAAAAGCTTTTAATTGCCCAAGAGAGTCATCAAAGCCATTAAAAGAATGATGTAACTTGTTTCAGATTTTTTTTTTTAAATGGGGGGGGGGGGAATTCAAAGTTCTGTTAAAAAAATAACAAAAAATCTCAATGACTGCTCGAGGATAGAATGTTCAGACGTGACACACGCTGGTATGATAAAAAAAAAAAACAGTCATTTTCAACAGGACTAACTGTCCATTTGAACTATGTCCAGTTTTATAATCCGTTTAGACGGCATCATAAAAGCACTGAAAGATTTACTGGCACAACACACGTGTAGAATCGTATAACACAGTTGGGAGACAACGCGGCGTGATTTCCTACAAAGCTTTTACACGCCTACAAAATAAGCATCATCACCGTTAGCATGCAAATATGCCGACTCATCGGCCATTTAGACAGACGGAACAGCACGCGCGGTTAGTTTGCAGAAAACGCTCCAGATACAACATTTCCACTGCCCCCAGATGCAACCGAGGGCAATTGCACCCAATTACATGTGACCGGGTCGGGTGGAAAGCAATTTGTTCACTTGCGAAGGTGGATACATTTACACCCACCCCCCCCCCCCAACAGTCTCGGTGACCTGCCATTAAATGTTCGCAAAATAAAAACTAAAAACATGTTTTTTTGTGTTAGCCGGCGCTTGCAAGCTTGTAAGGAGAGCACAATTACGAGCTTGTTACCCACCCTGTGATGTGCAGAAACCCTTTTGCCTAATTCTAAACCCGTTAATGCAACCTTAATAGCTTGTTGACAAGACCATTTAATGAAGTGTTTTAAGAAGGGGGAGAGAAAAAATATTTGCAGACATTGCGGCAACAACACTTGAATGCCCCCCCCCACCCCCCACCGGCTAGACATTTAACTCTTGCAAACACAGTAAGTTGCAAAATGTGCCCTTTGAGCACAAGCAAACTACAAAGGGAAGGGGGGGGGGATAGCAAACTTAATTCCACAAGGGGAACTGGAGAGAAGGTGTCACCTCGTGAGGCAGGCGCACGACAGCCATGGGGGGGGGGGGGGGTTGAAGCCACGAGAAAATAAAATTTGCCCATCGAAGTTTTAAAAATTCATCCATCATCTTCTGTTAACTGTACAAGGCTCAAAATAAAATAATAGCAACATTTATCAAGACACTAATATGTTTGTAGCTTACAGTCACAATTATGTAACGAGGTGCACGAGTGTCACTTGCTCGGCAAAATTCTTTAATATACGATGGCGCTTCCATAATTAAAAGTACGAGAGGCGGGTGCATGAAAAGTTGGATTACAATTAAGGAGTGGTTCGTTGTACGTATTTATGTACGTACGTGTGTGTGTTGAACTTCTTTCGCATCGTACGTAGCCAACCGTGCTAATCGAAGGTGCGGGAAAGTGCACGAAGTTTGGAGTTTGGCAGACGACGCTCAAACTTACCGAAACCCAGAGGCTGCCCGCCTATTCTCACCATCCGCCACACTTCCCCCGAGGCACTTGTGAACAGCAGGTTATTCGGAAACCTACAGATTTTTTCACCAAAACAGGCACGAGTCAAATTAATGCGTCAAAACCGAGCTCGCAGCATAATTTTGTCACTGCACATGGCATCAGGAGAAATTTCCTGGCAATAACAAAGGGCTTGCCATGACTTTTAAAATCAACATTTAAAAAATGCTTCAAACTACGGCAAGACCTTAAAAACACAAGGATTTCCGCGAAATAACTACATCAACATAGCGTGGTCGCTGGTACTACCGTTCGCTACAACCACCGCCTAAATTAGAAAATCTATCACCTTTGGAGCGTGCGGGTATCCATGACCAGGGAGATGTAGCCCTCGATCAAGGAGAATGAGAAAAACTTGATGAGTTCTCGATCTGCGCTGTCAGCCGTGGAGTCCTTGCCGCTGCAAAAAGGAACACGACAACCCTGTAAACAGCTTACTCCGATTGTCGTCAGAGGGAGCCAGGGGGTGGGGGTGTAGAAAAAGTAGGCCTTAAGAAGATGAGTGGGAATTTAAAAAAACAAGTTCTGTAGCACACCCACCCTAGAGTCAACACAGACGCCGGGTTTTACACAGGGAGTACGGGAACAAGTACAGCGCCGGTACAGCAGTCACAGGGGCGCCGCAGTGGCGAGATGTTAACTACCTTGCCTGGTATACAGGAGGTCGTGGTTTCAATCCTATCCCTGACGCCTGCTATATACATTTGGAGTTTGCATGTTCTCCCCGTGGTCGCGTGGATTTTTCTCCAGGTCCTCCGGTTTTTCACTCCACATTTAGAATCAACGTGCGTTTAGAGTATTTGGCTGCTGCTGTAAATTTCCACGTGATAAGCCACTTCGTTGAGAATTAATTTGTGGCCAGGTCGCTTCTGAAAAAGAGCTATATAGCTCGGTGGGCCTTCCTTGGTAAAATAAAAAAAAAGTTTAGTTCCAAAAAATTGCTTAGTTTACAGGAGCTGAACACAATTTAACTAAATTCTTTTGCACATTTTATGTCACTTCGCACTAACGACTCAAGTTCGTAAAAAAATTTTTTTATCGCAGGTGGCGACACCGGGCAACATTACCAGACCAAAAATCAGTTCTTAAAAAAATTCGATTTCAATTGAGAACTACATTTTTTTAGAACCGAATTTTAGTTTGTTGTTCATCCCCCCCGGTACCTCTGATGAGCATAGTTGGCTACGTACAGTGCAAAAACGGGGTTCAATCTGAAGCAAAAACAGCCGGGCCTCATTCGCGTCCTGCAACGTACCTTCCCGAGTAGAACATGATGTCCATGAGAAGAGTTGTGATGAGTGGCAGAGTGGTGGGGTCGAGGCTCGTCACGCAGAACTGGTTAACGGGGCACGTCAGTGGGTGGATGACCGGCCTGCTCACTGCATGTCGGACGCACGGCAGGAGGGGGGAAAAAAAGCGAGAGGCTTGTACGAATGGAAAACGTTGGGCGTACGTAAATGATTCATGAAAAAACGTTACTTGCAAATTATCGAGAAAAATACGTAGACAACCCACCGCTTTTAGGTTTCACGAAGCCGTTGACAATGACGGTGTCATCCAAGGCCACCACCTCGCCGTCAATCTCACGGAAAATGGCGAATTCCGTGGAGAGGGCATGCATCACGACCGGGAGGTCTCGTTCACGCACCTGCGTTCCATACAAAAAAATATACCGATTAACATCCATCGTATACGTGTGCTGTGCATTACAATTATGACTCGGAGGGGGGGGGTGGAAAGAGGAGAAATGGTTTTCAGGACAAGGCCATGCTGCTATTGCAGCCACTCGCACAGATTAAAGTGTTTGCTTAAAATTATTCATTAAGGACTCAACAACATTTTACGGGTCTCCATTTGATACTTCACGCTTATTTCTTTTAGCGTAAACAACCGATCCCTTCAGTCACTTGATTGTGATCGCTTGATTGTGATCGACTGTTAAATCGGGCACATTCCGAATGTCATTCTGATTTGGGAGTGTTGAAGAAAATCGGCAGTCCTTTAAGTTTTCCAAAGAAGATGCCAAAGCCATAGAGCAAATTGGGACACTGCCCTGACATGTGCAAAACTTCAGCGAAAATTGAATTTGGCACAAACACAGCGGTGAAAACTCACACTAACTTACCTTTTGACACAAGCACACTAAACATAAAAGGGAGCGAGCTGTTTTTTTTACTTGTTTTTACAAAAGTCGTGCCTCATACGCAAGACCTTTAAAACATTGCCTATGTATATTTTACAATATTGACATAAATGCAAGGACAGTGAAATGTTTATAAACAAAACATAACAATTCTGAGTCGGCCTTTTTAAGGTTACAACACTTACCATAAAAATAAAGCCAAAACGTATTGATAGCCCTTATGAAAAGGTCACACTAAATCGGTGTCATTCATACTTAAAAACCAAAGCATTTTTCAATTAATCTGCTAAGAATGTCTCAAAAAGATATATTAAAAAAAATGTATATTAGGCAAGACAACATGTAAACCAAGACGAAATTATTTTGTTCAGTTGTCAGGGAGCTGGTCAAAATCCAAGGGCCGTTTCCAGAACGAGAAAATGTGGCCAACACACATTTCCATTTCTTCAATTACACACATTCGGGAATACACCAACGTGTGGAGGAGACAATGACCCAGTTGCGGAGCCAGACGACCGCAAACCTCGACTAATCCACCGACCCGTTTCACTTCGCGCAAGCCCAAGCAGGCGGGTGAGGCGACTCCGCGTGTACGCATGTTGAACTTCTGTCGCAACGTACGTAAGCCAACCCTGCCAAATCGGAGGTGCGGTACAGGGGGAGGACAGCAAACTACGGGACAAAGACTCGGCACTCTTGCTCGCTTGCTCGCACACGCGCGCACGCACGCACGCCCAGCAATCTCACCAAGATGAAGTCAGTCTGGTACGTGGAGTACATGAACACGGAGACGTTGTGGTCGGCAAGCGGAGCGATGACGGACTTTGCGATCTTGGTGACGCCCACGGCCGGCGAGTTGGGGCTGTGTCCTCCGCCCGACACCACGTTGAGCGCAAGCCACGTGGCGTCCTCCACGGTGAGCCGCTCCGACACCGGCAGCTCTGCGCGTTTCCACGAGAAAAAAAAAATGTTAAAAACCTGCGTTAAACAAAAAACGTATTATTATTTCGGATGAAGACGATGACGATGGTTGCTTGGTTGTAACCTTTTTGACGAGTTCTCGTATTACCTCCGATTAGCACGGTTGGCTACGCACGGTGCGAAAGAATTTCAACATACGTGCATACATCAAGACAGCTGGAGTTTATCGCAACAACAAAAATAGTAAACGCTCCAAAGCGCCGATCCGTTGGACTCTTAAAACTGGAAGGCATTCATCATTGGAAAAAACAAATTACAAAATCAAGTCAAAATTGGAATAAACATGTTGTACAGATTTAGTTTATCACCTGGCTCAAAAATACCATTGAAAAGCTCAGCTGGCTTCACGCAATGTCCAGGTTCAAATATAAACTCCTGAATAAAAAAAGAATCACTCCAGTCCTGGGCCACCAACCCCCCCGCCCATCCCTATATCCAAACGTGAATAAACATGTAAGATTCTTGCCAAGACCAATATATATTTGTTCCCTTCTGAGATTAAATCTGCCATTTACAAGCAACAAAAGACATACAATGAAAACCATTCACCGATTATGCTCTACCAATTAACAAGTAAACATTGGGGTTCTGTTGCACGGGTTCAAGACACCGGGTCAGAATTTTTTTTTTATCCCTACAATCTATTGACAAAAACACATCACAAATACAAAAGGCAGTTGTTTTTGTTCAAACACCAAAAATGTTTTAAGAAAGAAAAAAATAACAACCCCCTCTCGGCTACCATCTGCAGGGCATATTCTGCAACGACCTCTGAGGTGGCGGTGCCGGTGATGTGCGAGTGAGGAAAAGGCTGTGGGGGGGGGGTGTGTGCAAAATAGCCGAGGAAAGAAAAAAATCATCCCTCCCGCTTTCTTTCTGCGCGGTAAAATGGAGATCCCCTGGGCGCGCAAGTGGCCACCAAAGTCTCTGCCCGGCAACAGCAGCGAGGCCACCAATTGACGAGCACGCAAAAAACCTCCCCCCAGCCCGTCTGAGCCAGCCAGAGTTGCCGCAACCAACAATTTAACAGTTCTTGGTGTCTCCGCCGGGACGTGTTTACTTCATTTTAATTAGCGGTGGCCGCGTTATAGCCATGCCAAGGGTAGAAATGAGCTCGCCTGTTAACCCCCACATGATGTATAGCCGGTGACTATTATAGGGAGCGGGTTCTGGCAAACACGATTGTATGTTTTGCTCGAATGCCGCACAGTGCTTAACGGAATGAAAATATAGAGTTTACAAAATGCAAGAATAAAATTAAAATGTAAGGCAAGCCAGGAGACGAAAGAACACACCATGACAGTGATAGCGATGTATGAAAAATGGGTAAAAATAATACCCAACGATTTCTTAACATTAGGGGAGAATAACAAAAAAGGACTAATAACTAAAGGTGGAATTAATTACTTCGGCAGAAATTTGTAACGGTGCTTAAATAATAAATGGGCTCGGAGAGTGAATGCAACTGCGGTAATTAATACATTTGCTGAAATTAAAAAAATGTAATAATGCTAAAAGAATAATTGCATTGCCAATCAAAAGCCTTCATTACTTCGCGCAACATCACATTTGAGGTTTTTAAAAACGGCAACCCCCATTAAATATTCAAAACGGTGAAATCGGCTCCACTAATTTCACAAACCTTCCACTGCTTAACAATTCAATGTGGGTGGGGGGGGCACTCCAAGGATCTAAGCCACGATATAACATAACTGCCAGTTCTGCAAACTGCAGAACAAGCTGGTATTTATCCGAGATAAAAAAAACATACTTATCGAGCTATTGCATAAGCACGCTACCACACAGCTAGCCCAACGTAATGTTGACTGTTCCAAAGCCTGGGCTAGCTTTAATAAACAGGAGCCGCTGGAGGCTACAACATAATGAAGAAAATAAAACAGGGATTTTTATAGTTACGCAAAACAAACAAAACCAACAACAAAAAGCCACTACCATCCAATCGGATCTGAAAGCCTAAGAAAAACTGCTGGCTCTGCAAATCCGAGAGTGGAAAGCCCTTGGAAACAAACCCAGCAGCACTCTCCTTGTCGACGCTCTATTGGTCCACGGCAGCCAATTGCAAGGCCCGCAACAGCGTGCCCCCACAGCGTGCCCCCACAGCCAATCAAATCAACGGGCTCGCATTACACTTTTATCAAGGGCTCATTTGGCTACAGTCAAGAACAAAAATTGCACAAAACAAAAAATATAATCGCATTCTATTAAGCATACGTCCTCCCCCGAGGCAGAGGTGGCAAGCTTCATTGGGAATATTCCACAAGCGTCGTTCGTTCAAATCAAATGGCCGGACCCCATATCACAGATCAGACAATTTACAACACAATCATTAAAAGCACACACTTAGCAAGTGTAATGCATGACAAGAGTGGTTACTTGCAAGGTACGTTTCCGTAGTTATAATTTATAGATCAAGGAAGTACGGAACAGAACGTACTATGACACGAACACAGGGTTGCCCTTTGCAACCCAAAGTCATCAAGGTCAACACAACATTCTTGGCACCGAGATGGCAATATGTTAACTACCTCGCCTGGTATACAGGAGGTCGTGGGTTCGATCCCGACCCTGACGCCTGCTGCTGTATATTTGGAGTTCACATGTCTCTCATCATCATCACGGTGGCTAGGAGATGTTAACTACCTCGCCTGGTACACAGGAGGTCGTGGGTTCGATCCCGACCCTGATGCCTGCTGCTGTATATTTGGAGTTCACGTCTCTCATCATCATCACGGTGGCTAGGAGATGTTAACTACCTCGCCTGGTATACAGGAGGTCGTGGGTTCGATCCCGACCCTGACGCCTGTATATTTGGTATACAAGAGGTCGTGGGTTCGATCCTGACCCTGATGCCTGTATATTTGGTATACAGGAGGTCGTGGGTTCGATCCTTTCCCTGACGCCTGTATATTTGGTATACAGGAGGTCGTGGGTTTGATCCTGACCCTGATGCCTGTATATTTGGTATACAGGAGGTCGTGGGTTCGATCCCGACCCTGACGCCTGCTGTGTATTTGGAGTTTGCGGTGTCTCTCCTCGTGGATGCGTTGATTTTTCTCCGGGGCGTTCGGTTTTAACCCTCCACATTTACAATCAACATCACACATTTAGAGTAATTTGGCTGCTATAAATTTACACACGATAAGCCGCCACTTCCTTGAGCGATCATTTGTGGCGGCCAGGTCGCTTCTGAAAAAAGATCTATACAGCTCAGTGGGCCTTACCTGGAAAAATAAAACAATTGTTTAGTTTTAGTTTGGTAAAATTATATTTGTTCGGAAACAATTCACAAACCCAAGATACCATGGAGTCCATCAACAGCACTCTGCAGCGCTTACGTGCGACATTTAGCATTTTTAAAACGTGCCAAACGTTACTCTTTGGTTCTTTCGGTAAAGTCACGTAGGTAGAAATAAAACAAAATAAATCACGACGTTTCAATCGCAACACAAGCGACCGTCACCAGGCAGAACCGATACAGTGATTTATTTTATTTTATTTCTACCTACGTGACTTTACCAAAAGAACCAAAGAGTATGGATTCCTGCAGTCACTAATGCTTCAAATCAAGATTGTGCCAAACGTTATTTATGAGAACAGATATTTATTCTGAAATCACAAGGACTATGAAAGCCATCATCAAGACTCAAACGTTTGTTTTTTCTTTCCCACATGGAGATGAACAACTTCCAATTCCATCTTCCAATTGTTGAAAATAATTAATCAGAGCAAGACTCCTTGAGTGTGGGGGGGGGGGATGAAATGTTTTTCGCGTGAAGAAAGAAAAAAATACATCGTGCGACAACCGCTAACGTTTCGCTCGCAAAAAAATAACTTTAAGCAGTTCCGTAACAGAGCAACGCAGCCAAACCTTTACCGATACGAGGGACGGACAGCAATTACCGATTTTTAAGAAAACATTTGTGCTTCCCAAGAAAGATATACACTCCATACATATGAAGACCTAAATAGCTGCCTCGGGTGTCTATCAGTGTTTGGGGAAATGCGAAACGAGCGGTTGGAAAAGCTGTCGAGAAACACTGCAAGCCGTGCATAACAAGGACATAAATAAACAGGTCTCCCTCGCGAAGCCAGCCCCGGGTGATGCAAAACACATCTTGAGGGTGGCGCTGAGCGTTTACCAACACACACAACACATAAATGAACAAGACCAGAACACCCATTGACGTTCAAATAATATTCTAATATAGCAACTGCTTTAACGTGAACCATCTTGAAGCTTGCTAGATGTAACTTTATTTGTAACTCGGTCACAGCCCAACGAGGCCAAGAATTATTTCTCAAGAGAGACATCAAACTGTACTATAACCACCGCCCCCTTTATAAACACCAAGTAGCTAATCGCAAGGATTCGCACGTGCACTGCAACTTCACTCTATGTTGGTAGTTGTTGGTATGTTCATAGGCAAAAGGGGGTATATATATCAAGATGGGCTAAATATAGACTACATTCAAAAACTGTTAAGACTACAATTCAAATTCTTTAACTTTTTCTTCAGCAGAGCAAGCGTAGCAAACGACGTTGCACACAGCGTTTTAATAAGTTTTTTTTTTTCGCGTGGAATATTTGCTGGTTTATTCCAGGATGTTTCTGTTGCGCGTCGTCGCTTTGGGATGTTCTGTGTTCATATTTTGTTTGTTGCGGTTGCACCCGACTTCAGAGCCGCATGGCTCACAGGGCTATACCTAATAAATGAAACTTGAAAAACTGTACTAGGCTCCAAAATCTATGCTCCCCCACCTTCACCTCCCCGTGCTGGCGAGCGTGAAGTATGGTGAAGTATGGTCAAACAACATCACCCACGGTGAGGGAGGGGGGGGGCCCTCACCTCCAACAGCGATGTAAATGTGCAACAGATTATATGAAACGATGTGTATTTTATGTATTATTTGCATATACCCACCTACCCCCACCTTGCAGTTTTTTTATCGTAAATAAACAAACTAACGCGACAATTGATAATGAAAAGTGCATAGGATTTAGCCGCCGTCGTGTAAATTAATCAATGGCCTTCGAAAAGTTGCACGTCAATATGGACGTGCGCTTCTTTTGAGCGGGCCAACTGCAAGAGAGGAGCGCGTTGCTCCTTGCCAAGAGGAATGCTGTCGACCGAAGGGGAAAAAAAGAATCCCCTCCCTCCCTCGCCTGCTCGCTGTGCCACCCGTGTAATAACGTAGCAGTGGCTACGGGAGTGGGCCAGGGTCGGGTTGGGGAGAGAATTGATGGCACAAGCACATTCCGTGTAAAGCCCCGAAAACCCCCTCTCTCTTGCACTCTCCAACCCCAACCCACCCACCCCACCGACCCACCCACCCCAAACCCACCCCAACCCACCCCTCGGTTGCAGAGCAAGAATCTTCTCTCTACCCGGGCGCCGGGTAACAATCCTTAGAAGTGGAGAGGGCGGCTGATGCAACCAGAGCTGTGTATGTCACCCGTGTTAAGATATTATCGTCGTAGTAGTGACATCAGTGGCCGTTCCTTTTTAGGCTTTGATAATCACGGAGGAGGAGGAGTTCCCGTGTTCAACAAATTGTTCACGACACCAGGGGGAAAAAAAAAGACGGGACGCTTACCATTTGGTATCTTACGCTACGGTTATGATGTATACCCGCAGTGGGGGAGCGGGAGTGTGGGTTTAACTTGCCAAAAAAACAATTACATAAAGACGATTCCAAGAATAAAGGTGAAATGCAGACATTGAAAGAAAAGGCAAACATTTAGTTCAAACAAAATTGCGTTACAAGCTTGGCTTTGTAAAAAGAAATGGTTACCTTTAAATCCTTCTTCATCCACAATCAAGGTGAAGTCGTCTGGTGTTTCCGTCAAACTGAAAAACTTACACCTGAAAGACACACACAAACACACAAATGCCAACAACTCATTAACAAAAAACGTGCCACTTCAATTACTTAATGTGACATAAGCACCAACTTGAATTGCCGCGATAAATAAAACAACGACCGTAATTGACGGTCTGGACCTGAACCTACACAATGCATCACCACAAAGAACGCGTTTAAAAATGAGACGGAACAAGGGCCATTTAGGCGCACATCTTTTGTAAAGAACTTATCACAAACAGCTCGCCATGCGAGTTCAAAAACACTCCGATGAGCACAGCAAGCAAAATAACTTTTCCTCAATACCACCTTCAATAAAAGTAGGTTAAAAAAATCTGGATTATTCGAGTATCGAGTGCAAAAGATTTAGTAACCGAATGAAACTATCTAAAAAAATGATTTCTATAAAAGCACCATGCACCTGCTTTGTGGAATTTTAGAAAAGAATGCTCCACGCACAAAGCCCTTCTTATAGTAAAAAATTGCAGGAATGTATTCTGAACCAAAAAACCAAACACGCACTTTGTAAAACTTGGGAAACACGTACAGGTTATTACATCAGAAGTTGTATACTACCAGAAGGAAAAAAATAGCCTGCATAGCACCCCCCCCCCCCCCCCCATCTAACTTTACAGCTATATATAGCTGCTCATTAGACTTCCTTATTAAAAACAACACAGCACCCACTCCACGTGTCTACCATTTTAAGCTTCTGTTGAATTTAAACCGCCACCTCTAATTTCTAACCGACCCCGGCATCAAACTTTTATTAAACTGCCAATCAAACGAACGGATCCATAATATTCCCGATGTAATGTTCAACTTCCCTGGGCTCACAGCACACAAAGCCATTGCCGGCGGATTTGACATACATAGAAAACGAAGGCAAAGTGCAAACATTTATTTCCACACTATAAAACTTTCAATGTGTTTATCACGTAACAGCCACACCCGCCGCCCGTCCTTCACATCACTGCAAGAATAAGAAAGGCACGTATCTCTTAAAGCTTCAACAACAACAAAAAACCCCAGGGCTCAACTGCTGAAAGATATCACAGCGACAATAAACCAACCTCTTCCAATTGAAACAATCGGCGTGTTAAAGGTGTTAGAGCAAAAAAAAAGTAAAACGAGGAAACAAAGCAAAGCCCTTCATTACCTGCGTTGGTCATTGTCCCTGTGTTCTCATTAATTGTGTTAAGATTACGTTAACATTTCAAGCATTGTTTTAAACCACCTCTACAAGGCTGCACATTTCATGAACCAACGTGGCAATGGATTTACCAAGTTGACCAACTCAATACTTTAGCATGCGAATGGGGTTTAAAACCGACAAACATTTCCACTCACGTTTGCCCTTGCAAGTCTGAGAACAAGAAACAAAACCTAAATTCGTTGAACGACAATGGAAAATCGAACCTACGATGATGAGCAGTCTGCAACTGGTCGGGAAATCTGGCTGCCAACTCAAAAACGGAAATCGCCATTTGAAAAGTTGGCAAATGCGTGGAGACTCCACCTTGCCGACTCAGCGGCGACAATAGCCAGCGGGGAGAGTCGTCACACAAGCATGCTTCCAAGATGCAAGTTAATGGGGGCGGGGAATAAAGCAGACCTTTAATTTTTCACTCAATTTGTTGGATTTTGTAAATGTGACGGATTAGCTTTTAACAAAAAAAGCTGAAATTAATCCACATCACATGACACGCTCTTGCTCGAAGGGACAGAAAAATAATATATATTTTAAAGTAAACCACGTACAGGGAAGATGATGAATGTAAGGGAATGTCTCTTAACGTCTTTTAATGTCAGCTGAAAGGTTGACTTTAATTTCCTGTCGTGGAACAATAATTTCTAAACGTATTTACTGCATACTGTATGTAAATTAATCTGCACTTAGCTGTTGGAAGGGAAAAAAAATCATAAAAATCAAACTGTTATCAACTCTTACTCGGTGCAACGAGTATTGGGTACTGTCATTGTCTACGTTGAGTTGCCGGCACGCAGAAATAAGCACTTTTTTACGCAGACATCTAAATTGAGATTAACTCGTAAAATACATATGGGCAGAAGTCACGCTACCCACAAACACGCCCACACTGCGCTCGATGCGGCTATTTATTTTTTTATTACTAAACATTGCTCATCTTGTGTGGGTTGTTGCTGGGGGAACATTTTTTCATGGTTCTATGTGCAATCTCCCTCGTCCGTTGTCTTGCCCTCAATACACACACCGACCTATAACTTGCAAAAATACATTAACCCCCCCCCCCCACGCGGTTAAAAGCCAGGTAAAGACGCTGGGGGCGGGGAAGACAGTGGCTGGATATGGGCCAGGAAGGCAACTAGGAAGAAGATTCGTTGCTTGCTGTCCGGTGGAATTGATGGAGTTGCCACACGTGTGCCCAGTGGACTCATGCCCTCTGACCAGTCACCGTACAGGTCAAAGCTGCACCCCACCGACACCACCACCACCACATTACGTTTTAATGCACCCCTTCTCTGCAAGCAATGCTTGGCACTGCCGCCCACTGGCATGCTGGGTTCAAAAGGCCAAGGCAGTGGGGGATTTAAAGCTGTGCCACTATTTCATGAATACTCTACACAGTACCTAACAACACAACAACCGTAGGCAGGAATAACAGCAGTTCTCATAACATGATTCGCTGGCATGTGAAATCTAAGGACCTGTGTTGGCAGGAGTACACAAGGGCAAATAACAAAAAAAAAACATGTAATTAATATTACTCAATAATATGACGCTAGCATGTTATTGACGAATGTGGCATTTTTGTTTTACCAGATCATTCACATAGCATCTTGTTGCAGCAGCAGCAGCAGCTGAGCAAGGGCTTTGGGTGGGTTGCTATTGAAGACCCTGGGGGCCCTGCTTGAGAGGGTGGCCAACACCTTAGCTCACATGATTCCCTCGAGCATAAATACATATTCCGATTCAATGGCGCAAGTCCGGCATGAATCAAATGGCCGCAATTAACACATTATGCTGTATACCATTGTGATGTTTGTCTTAGATAGAAAATTAGCATTTCACGGTGTTCCAAAGTTAATTATAGGACTCAACGCAAATATGGTACAGTACTAAAAGTTGGTTCTATGTCCCGGTGGGGAGGGGGGGGGGGTTAAGTTGATTCAAGACCATGGCTAACATCCATGGTAAGTGACATTTTAACTGATCCTGGAACCTTCCCTTCAAACCCACATTGACCAGCTAAGTTAAGTATGGTCAGATAACCATCAAGGCTTGTGTGTGTGTGGGGGTGGATTCATCCAGCAGCGGGCTGAAAATCACCTGTAGGGATTATTGCTCTTTATTGTTAAAAGGTATGGGGATTCTACATTACTATGCAACGCTTACAGGGTTACTACAAAACCAAACGTGACGTGGTTAATACGGGACGCAAACGCAGCCACGGAAATCAATTTCACTGGCACTAAACGAACGCGATTGTGACCGCGTAAACCCAATGGGGGTCGGTGTAACATTGTTGGGAAGTTAACCACGCAGACCCAATGCGGTTATAATGCTAGCAGCAGTGCACGTGAATGCAACCGACACCAACCCTACGCGGCTGTGACTAGTAAGAATGCGAATGACCGGGCGCTAAACAATTCGGGGTCGGTGTTGAGAGTCAGCGCGAGGTCAGGGCGGGGTGTGTAGGTGAAGAGTTCAGTAACAGGCCAGACGTTTGCTGGATATTTAAGAGTTCTGGGTGTAGGAAACGGTGGCCAAGCAGAGTGGTCGGAGTCAAGGGACCGGGCATGGCCTGTGGGGTCCATTTTCTGGGACTCTTAAAAGCTGTACCTGAGAAATCAGCCGCTCGAGTTCCATTCCCTGCTACGGCGAACAAAAAAAAATCACGCATTGACGAGCGTGGGGCGAAGTATGGTCAAACAAACCCTCTGGCCGACGACCCTGTGGAAGAAACCTTCAAGCAGCAGGTTATACCGTTAAGGCATTGACAAAAGGTCAGATGCGAATTATTGAGTTTTTTATGTTTTACTCATAAACGGGACAGGGGTTAGGGGGGTACAAAAAATTATTCTGTGCAGAGGTCGAGGCTTTGCCAACAGGGTTAGGTTCCCAGTTAAGCTTCTGGATGGTTCGGCATTAGTTAATGCAGGGGGTTAGGGGGGGTTCTAAGCTCGGATTAGCGCCGCGGTTTGAGATCGACACCGATAAACGTTGTGGGTTTTTATGTTTGAAGTCAATAGCAGTTTGCCCGGCCAGTAACAATGATTCCTGGTGTTTTTTTCGTGTGTGCTTGTTTGTTGGGTGACTCCGGTACTGAGAAACTGTACAACAATTAAAAAAAATGGGTATAAAAAAATCATGATTAACATTGGTCGCGGTTTTGAAACACGCGCTAACGATTGCACTACCAGATTACTGGACACCTGTGCAAAAAAAGAGCTTAATAGCTCATCGGATTCCTCCAGTATCTATACACGTAAAATCCTATTCCGAGATTCGAAGGCACGAAATTATGTAGTTCTTATCGGATGCCGCGTGCTAATATGATCGCGAATCGATACAGCAGCAGGCGCAACGTGTAAGTGACTGTACCGCATTGCAAAAGGGGTACATTGCAAGTTCCAGTTAAGGTTCGAAGGCCCGGCACTAAGAAGTTCGCTCCAAGATACTGGGGTCGGAGACGGGTGAACAACGCGTTGCCAACGGGAGTTAAGGGTTTTCATGAGATAAGCACAGTTCCTGTAATTAATATTCACTGGGCATTTAACAAGTTCCGTTAAGGTTTTGGGGCCCGTATCCGGCGTACGTAAGCGTTGCATCACGGTGCAAGTGAAACGTCCAAGTTACTTTTAACGAATTCACGGAGTTTGCGTCACAGGTTGAATACGGTACCAAAAATGCAGACAGTTAAATGCCCGGGACTTGAAAGCAAGTTTTCCGGTATCCCCTTTGTCTCACCGGGGTCCCCATATTTCACCGGGGGCACGTGTACCCCCCCCAACCCCACCATGTCTCCCACCCGTGTCTCACCGGGTGCACGTGTAACGCCACCCCGTGTCCCACCGTGTCCCACCGGGTGCACGTGTAACGCCACCCCTTGTCCCAGTGTCTCACCGTGTCTCACCGGGAACCCGTGTCCCACCGTGTCCCACCGGGTGCACGTGTAACACCACCCCGTGTCCCACCGTGTCTCACCGGGAACCCGTGTCCCACCGTGTCTCACCGGGAACCCGTGTGGCCCGCCCACCGTGTCGCCTCCCACGTGTCTCACCGGGTACCCGTCTCAACGCTCCCCTGTGTTCTACCGGGTCCCCGTGTCCCACCGTGTCTCACCGGGTCCCACCGTGTCACCCCCCGTGTCTCACCGCCTTCCCCGTGTCTCACGGTGTCTCACGGTGTCTCACCGGGTGCGATCGGTGAGGAAGGCGAGCTTGACGAGCCCGTGAGTGAAGAGCGGGAGACTCTCCCGGGCGATGCTCGCGATCTTCAGACGATGTTCGAGAATGTGCAGCTCCATAACTAACGACGATGATGATGATGACGAGGAAGACCTAATGCGTGCCGACTGCAACACCCCCCCCCAAAAAAACACAAAAAAAACAACCCAGTGGGCATCACTAAACCGGCACCTACTGCACAAAATCACGATCTGGCATCACAAAAGAAACGCAATTCGTTAACAGCGTAAATCAAAATGTGCAATGTTTAACAAAGTGCAGTCATACCTCGCGGGGGAGAGGGGGGTGTGTAGAGACGGCAGCAGCTCCGCTAACAGCGCGATTCGGAGGCGTGAGGTACTCAAAAACAATGTTTGTATAATTTTATTATTTTAAACAAATTTCGCTTCGCAACGAACTACTACTAGGAAAAAAACAACCCGGCAATGACTTAAATCGCCCTACCACCTTCCCCTCCTCCTCGTCAAGCACTTGCTAGGTCCGTCGTTCGAATAGCTTTAGGAGGGGGGGGGGAAGCGCTGTTTCGTCTTTGTTGGTTGTCTCTGCGTTGTTGTTGAGCTGCTGTTGCTGCTGTTGGTGTTGCTGCTGCCGCGACTGCCGATGAGCTCTGCCAAGAGCGCCGCTCCACTCTGCTGGAGGCTGCGAGCGGCGCGCCGAGAAAAACAAGTTGGGGGCGAGGGGCGGGGCCCGCTCGGAGTGAAGGGGGCGGAGCTTGGTGGTGAGGGGGCGGAGCTTGGGGTGAGGGGCGGGGCGAGGAGGCGGGGCGTCCTTCATCAGGAGGCTTCGCCTAACAGCACTTGCCCCCCCGAGTCTGCTGAGGCTATACCGTGGTTGGTGGGTGGTTGGTGGGTGGGTGTGTGGGGGGGATCCTTTGTCTTTGTCGTGTTTGCGGGTTAGCGGCGCTGTGCCCACTAAAGCGGCCATCCCGAGTTCGATTCCCCAGCCCGACCGCCCGCCCCGGGCCGCTTACGGCCATCCAACACCGGTGACGACGATCTTCTGGACCGGGCGTGCGCCTCCAACTAAGTCGACCCAGACTCAAATTAGTTACCTGGTGCGGTGTGTAAACATCACCCACTGTGGGGGGGGGGGAGGGGGAGACAAAGGCGGCCGGGGGAGGGGGAGACAAAGGCGGCCGGGAGTGGTGTTGGCCACCCACCCCCTCCCTCGTCGTTGTGCCGTTGCGGCCTTCATAGGTCTGCTACTCGCTAACAGCACTTGCCCAAACAGTCTGTCGAGGCTACAAGGGGGATCTTTGTCTTTGGTGGGGTGGGAGGAGGGTGGAGCGAGCCAGCTGCTGCGAGCGTCCGAAGGGGCGGAGCTTCACAAGAGGGGGTGGCGTGGTCTGCGTGGGGGCTAGCGGGGGGGGGGGGCTAGCGGGGGGGGGGATGGGGGGGGCGCGCCAACAGCAGCAGCTGCTGCTGTTGCTCTGCCGCTCCTGCCTTTTTGATTGGACCACACGGCGAGCTCGCCCGTACGTCATCATCGCGGTGACGTCACGTCCGCGGGTGTCGGAGGTGCGGTGGCGGTGAGGGGGTTGGGCTGGGGGGTGGGGTGAGGGGGCGGTGTTAAAATTTTGTTTTTTTGGAGGGGAGGGGGGGGAATAGTTTTGGGGGGGGGGGGAGAACGAGGGGTGGGGCTAGTGGGGTAATACGAGGGAGGACGTGGTCACTGTCGAGGAGGCGTGGTCACCAGCGCTGTGGGCGTGGCCACGCGCGAAGTGGGGAGGGGTGGGGGCTGCAAGGGCGCGCGGTCATTCGAGGTGAGACGCCCACAATGTGTTTTTGCTCTTCAGATTTTGCGCACTGTATTACTACACGGGGGTTGAGAGTTTTAGCAGAAAGTTGATAGAGAGAGAGAGAGCGTTGGAAAAAATGTACGACTGCAAATGTGGCTTTAAAAAAAACATGCTGCAGGGATTGAGCGAGGATGTTGTTTATTTTGAGGGTGAGTGGTTGGTTGAAGGAGGGGTTTGGAATTCAGCTGTTTTTTTTGGGATGGCAGATTTTTTTGGTTGTTGTCCTTTTAAACCAAAAAGATTCCCCCAACTTAGAATAGTAGCTTTTTTTGTGTCACTTCACATACCAAGTGATGGCACGCCGCAGTTCGGTTACCTAATGGTGGGTGTAGCAGTTGTTTTGCTGTCAAGGATGTATCCGTCATCCCTATCTGATGCCTTGTTTGTGTGCTTTGCAGAAATAAACTTGTACCTTACCAACACCATACCCAGTGCTGGTATGTTCAGCACGGCCAAAGAATAGACGCTACATCACCCGTATTGCCCGACGCAATTGCACAGCCAACTCAAGCCACCACTGACTTAACCCGAGCAGAGCCTAAGTCTGGCTCTATGAGCCTCTTGAATTAACACTTTATCCTTTAATTGCATTAGTCTGGCTCTGTAAGTCACATATATTAACACAGAATACAGTTGGGGCGCCGTAGTGGCGAGATGTTAACTACCTCGCTGGTACACAGGAGGTCGTGGGTTTTGTCCCGACTCTGACGCCTGCTGCTGTATATTTGGAGTTTGCGTGTCTCTCTCTCTCCCCGTGCACATCTAGAAACGTACATTTAGAGTATAGAATTTGGCTGCTCGATATTTACACGCGACGATAAGCCACTTCATTGGGCTATCATTTGTGGCCAGAAAAAAAAGCTATCATAGCTCAGTGGGTCTTACCTGGCCAAAAAAAGTATAGTTTATAGTTTTAGTATCGTAGTGTGGTTGGCATGGGCCCTGGTGCAAAGAATTCAATGCCCCCCCCCCCCCACGCTAACCACCGACCCCACTCCCACCACCAATCCATCACCCCCCCCCGCCCTCCCTCTTTGTAGCTCAGCGCTTTCTCTCAGCGCTGACCCTATGAACTATATTCTGATTCTGACCACAAGTGGCAATCAACAAATAAACAAGCGGAGGCCCGACGCGATGGCACCGCCTGCACACTCGACAGCTGTGTCCGCTCAATGACGAGACAGCAGGTCCGGTGTCTTGCCGTTCCAAATGCAGTGTGCGCGACTCTTATCTTCCCACGAGCTCTCATCTGCTCCCAATATAAATGACAGGCAGCGGTACGATCGTTCATACCGAGGAGGCTGCAAAAACATCGTGAGAAAAAAAACCTGGACGCAGTTTAAACCAACTTTACTTCTTCCATGACGTGCGCTTTTGTCACTTATAATTGAACGCACAAATAAGTCAACCTTGTACATTGTTGCATTGCTTTTGGTTTAACTTAAAAGTGCAACAGCTAGCATAATCTGCTGCGTGTTTACGGACGTTAACAGAGTACACGTAAGATGAAAAAACAGCCAGCTTGTTTTTGAATGCTGTTTTTGAACCCACTTCAAACCGTAAATAAATATTTTCAATTTGCCAAGAAAAACAAGACATTTTCAAGGTTAAGGGCATTGGTACCCCCTCAAGCAATCGTGCATTGCCCCCTACACAAACAGAAATGCCCTTTGACGACCCACCACTGCTTTCTAATAAATTCATCACTGCCCCCTTTCCCAGTCTAATCAATAATAACCCGGGCCTGCCGTCCTCCCGCACACCCTACCTTCACCAACCCGCACTGACAACCGTGGTGAAGTATGGTCAAAGTTGACCAAACATAGCGTGGGGCAGGACCTCGTCCATCGGTCGATCGAGAATGATTGCGTTGGTTACGACGAATTATTCCGACGTGAGTAATGCAACCACCAAATGAAGCAGTGTACTATTAAATCCGTCAAGGCCCTACACCGATCCTGCAGTGGCGTCTGTCAGCCCCGCATTCATCCCCACCCCACCGAATCCAAATACGAGCCGAGCTCTGCCCATGCCAAGTAATCATTAATGCCGCACCACCACCAATCTAAACCGGTACTTTACCTTTCACCGGTAATAGACTGCCCTTTGTCAATCCTGCAATCATCATCCTCATCATCAGCCATGGTCAATCCACTGCTGGATGAAGCCCCCCCCCCCTCTCCAAGCCGTCACCATCTCTCATGATCCTGCCCATTTTGAAGCAGTAATAATAATATACACTGTCTGCAAATGTGCTGATTACATCCTGAAACGCCCGATAACAAGAATAATATTCAAGGCGATGCACTTTAACAATCCCCCCTCCCCCCAATGACCCACTTATCCATACCCATTGCCGAACTTATCCAAACCAGCTAAAAACACCCTCCACGTCTTCTACATTGCCCCCGAATAATAAAGCAAGTGCCAATCCACCCCTCTACCCGCTATGACGGGCACACAGCAGCCAGCCAACTGTGCCCCCCAAACACACGGCGACAGATCCACCCCAATGCACTAACCTCGCTCTCTCCAACCAACACAACAACACTGCACCACCACACACCACACAACACTGCACCTCCACACACCACACCAACACTGCACTCCCACACACCACACAACAACACTGCACCACCACACACCACACAACAACACTGCACCTCCACACACCACACAACAACACTTCACCCCGACTCACCACACAACAACACTGCACCCCGACTCACCACACAACAACACTACCCCACCACACACCGACACTGCACCACCACACACCAACACTGCACCACCACACACTACACAACAACACTGCACCACCACACAACAACACTGCACCACCACACACCACACAACAACACTGCACCACCACACACCACACAACAACACTGCACCACCACACACCACACAACAACACTGCACAACCACACACCAGAACACTTCACCCCGACTCACCACACAACAACACTGCCCCACCACACACCACACAACAACACTGCACCCCCAACAAACCACACAACAACACTGCACCTCCACACACCACACAACAACACTGCACCACCACACACCACAACACTGCACCCCCACACACCACACAACAACACTGCACCCCCAACAAACCACACAACAACACTGCACCTCCACACACCACACAACAACACTGCACCACCACACACCAACACTGCACCTCCACACACCACACAACAACACTACACCACCACACACCGACACTGCACCACCACACACCAACACTGCACCCCGAATCACCACACAACAACACTGCACCACCACACAACAACACTGCACCACCACACACCACACAACAACACTGCACCCCCAACAAACCACACAACAAACCCTGCTTCCAGATATGGGGGGTAAGATGCGCACCAAGAGGATTAATATCCCAACATCCCCCCCCCCCATATGTGGAGGTAGCAAACCCTACCTCCATCTCCCTCTTCTACCCCCCCCCATCACCTCTCATCACCCGCTGCCCCCCCCCCCCTCTTCTCCCTGCGCGCCCCCAACCTCGGCGCTGCGGGAAAGCGAAGGGGAGGAGTTGGTGGTGGTGGAGGTGGTGGAGGAGGAGGAGTTGGTGGAGTTGGTGGTGAAGGTGGTGGAGGAGGAGTTGGTGGAGGTGGTGGTGGTGGAGGTGACGTAATTGCTCAGAGACGATTGGGCGAGTTGCCGAGGCGAGGGCTCTGCAATGGAATCTTCCAAGAGAGGCAGCGGCTGCGGCTGCTGCTGCCGCTGCCGCTCGTAAACAACGGGGCCCTGGGTGCGCGTAGGGGAGGGGGGAAGGGAGAGGAGGGGGGAAGGGGGGGATGGAGAGATGAGAGATGAGCGGAGAGAGAGG